AAAACATCTGACAAAAATAATTATATTTTTTTTTTACGAAATTTCATGGCATGATTCACATCCTAAAATTGAAATCTGCTGTACGATCCCTCATTGCAATAAAGTATTTCATCACTTTTTCGTTGAAATGATTTATCTCCTGAACTAAATTTGTATTTATTGATATCATAGCTAAGGCGTTTAGTCAATCATTTAGTATGGTGCTTCATAAAAATTTCATGAATACAACTTTAAAAAAGAAAAACAGTCGCCTGACACATCATCTAAAATCTAAATGCTGGTTGGCGGTGAAAAAATTGCGCCCTGTTTTGCACTAAAACTGCCGACTGCAAGACGCACTCGATAGCGCGTGTCCCACTACGTTTCCATGGAGACGTGGGCCTCAATCTTATTGCGGCCGGCTATAGTCCAGTCAAAGAGCTGAAATTGTTAATATAGGAAGAATTTGAAGAGGACATAATAAATAACACTCATAGCATGTGTCGATACGATAGGAAAAATTACATAATAAACAAATAAATAATATTTTTAATTAGTATTCTTGGTTGGCGACTAATTTTTTTTTTTCATATTTATTTTAAAAATTAGTAAAATATATAAATTATTTTAAAATTAGTTATTTTGTCTTAATGGCCTAAAATAATTTTTAATCTGTAGATTTTCGTTAGTGGGTCGTATAAAAAATATACTGTAAAACTCGAGTGAATTGTCCATAGTGCACTCAGATGATTGAGTACTCTGCCTACGGCGTTGTGCCCAAATTTTGTCTTCGTGCGATATGGCCATCATATCCACTCTTGTTACACAAACTAAATGTTCTGTGCCTCTTGTTATAATATTTTTTTTTAACAAAGAATCTTTTTCACGAATTTGCACCTGTTTTGCATTATCTTTAAAAACTCTAAAAACGCTAAAAACCAATGTTCAACTAGGAAATTTATTTATAAAATACGATAGTAAATTGTTCTAGAATTTGTAGACAAAATGTAAAACGTAATCTTACTTTTTCAAAGTGACTTCTGTATTCGTATAAACTCACCTTAATAAAGTTTACACTGCTAACCAATAACAAAGCGCAACTGAAATAAGAAGACAAGTGCATACTGTAACTAAAAATGAGATACTTTTTTGTCAGAGAAGGTTTCTGTCACTTTACACCAAACGTTATTTACGTGCGTAATATTCGAAAAACTGTCACATAATAATTATCGGTGCGAAACTGTCTAAGTTAAGTCTCTGCAATTTCCTAGAGTATTAGAAGCAGCATCCATGAGTTTCTTGAAGATATGCAAATTTAAATCTTCGATGTTGGGATAAAGTTTTTACTGAGCCATCGGCAATCGACTGTCAACCGCAGAGAGACAACTGTCGAAGAAAATTACCATATCGTCGAAATATGTTTTCAATTATTGGGCCCTAAAACAAACACTGTTAGTACTGATATGTATAGATTCTGCAACTTTAAAAGTACCTATTATGTAAGCAGAGGCAATTTGTGTTTATCTTTCTGATACAATACATGAATAACTGTTTTAAATAAGGCTGCTGCTCTAGAACCAAAACAGCTCTGGTAAAATAATCTTGAGAGATTATAAAGAATATACGAGTGTCTGACTGGTGTAAAGTGAATAAAATATTTGAACCATTTAGTAAAAAATCTGATGTGTCCAACACATGACTTTCCTATCTAGTTTTTATAGGCTTTTTCCGGTTATTTTGTACAACCTATTGCAGCATCTCTATAAATGTTTAGAGGATAAACTAAATATATACATTGTCCACATACATCTACCTCGAAACATTTTTCTATAGATATTCATTGAAAACGAAAATAGTGAAAAATTTAAATTTAACACTTTTTCATTACGGTCCATTTTAGAAAAATCATGTATAAACAAAAATTATAGAGATCGATATCGCAAACATCTTTTAGTTCAACAATTTTCATAAAAATCAGAATTTTGCACATTTTGTCAAATTTCTCGGATACGGACCATTTCAGGAAATTTTAACATAAAACAAAAATTATAGATAATAATATTATAAGTAACTTTTATTTGAACAATTTTCTTCTCCAAACATAAATAACATATATATTCCATAAAATATAAAAACGGCCTCCCATAAAGTACTCCCCTAGATGTTCCGACTTTGTCCAAAATCTAATCATTTCACTTCAGGCAGAAATAAACCTTAAGTTTAAAATTTAATGTTTTTTTCTTTATCCGTTTTTGAGTTTTCTTCAAAATTCTAAATTTACACATTTTCTAAAATATCTCGAATACGGTCCATTTTAGAGAAATTATGTATAGAATAAAAATTTAGAGAATTATATTACAAACAACTTTTATTTAAACAATTTTTATAAAAAAATATTTTTTTTACATTTTTCAAATTTCTCGAATACGGACCATTTTCGGAAAATTTTGTATAGTACAAAAATTATAGATAATAATATTAGAAGTAACTTTTATTTGAACAATTTTCTTCTCCAAACATAAATAACGGATATATTACATAAAATATAAAAACGGCCTCCCATAAAGTACCCCCCTAGATGTTCCGACTTTGTCCAAAATCTAATCATTTCACGTCAGGCCGAAATAAACCTTAACTTTAAAATTTAATGTTATTTTCTTTATCCGTTTTTGAGTTTTCTTCAAAATTCGAAATTTACACATTTTCTCAAATATCTCGAATACGGTCCATTTTAGAGAAATTATGTATAGAATAAAAATTATAGAGAATTATATTACAAACAACTTTTATTTGAACAATTTTTATAAAAAAATATTTTTTTTACATTTTGTCAAATTTCTCGAATACGGACCATTTTAGGAAAATTTTGTATAAAACAAAAATTATAGATAATTATATTAGAAGTAACTTTTATTTGAAGAATTTTCTTCTCCAAACGTAAATAACAGATATATTTCATAAAATATAAAAATGATCACCTATAAAGTACCCCCCCAGATGTTCCGACTCTGCCCAAAATCTAATCAGTTCATTAGACGCTGGAATAAAGCTTAAGTTTAAAATTTGGTGTTTTTATGTGTATCGGTTCATGAGTTATGCGACCTACAGACACACACACACACACACACACAGACACACACACACACACACACACAGACACACACACACACACACACACAGACACACACACACACACACACACACACACACACACACACACACACACACACACACACACACACACACACACACACACACACACGCACACACACACACACACACACAGACATCATCGCGAAAATAGTCAAAACGGATTCAGGGGACCTCAAAACGTAAAAATCCGTCGAAAACTCGAGGTCGAAAAAAATCATGATTCCTATACTTTCCTTATATCTGTATACAGATAGTAAAAATAAACCCTAAACAACTATTGCTTCTGCTAAAATAAATTGAATAGGATTGGAATATTAATAGACCGATAGCCACATGAAAAATTATTTTCCTCATAGATAGCAAAACTGTATTTAAATGTATTTAAATATGACCTTTACTCAAAACTGATATTGGATGTATTTAAATATGACCTTTACTCACCAATTCATAGACGATCTTTTTTGGTAATATCGGGTCGATGGTGTAGCGGTCTAACGCGCTTATATTCATTTATAGGCAAGTTTATGAGTCCGAGACTGCTGGGCTTCGAATCCCAGACCGGACCATGTGGATTTTTAATTAAATTGCATGGTTCGGTTTAGGATTTGATGTGTGCCGTATTAATAGAAATTCAATTTCTATTGATATGACATGCAGATTATAAAAATCGCCATACATTATCGTCTCGATGATGGTGGGTGAGGTTTTCCGAGTTTTCCTCACCTGTAAGTCAAATGGCACCATCAATCATCTTTAAGTCGCCCCGGAGCGCCACGGCAAATAATAATAATAGCCGTCCCTTCCCCTACACAAGTCGTTCAGTCGACTTCAGGGGTTGAAATTCACTCGTAAGGGGGTGAATTAGGGAGAGTATTATTATTATTATTATTATTATTATTAATTTGAAAAATTAGATGATTCTTAACTCGATGGTGTTTTTTTTTTCAGATTTGATATTGTTTCATCCCAAATTGTTTGCCAAGTGTATAATTGCGTTTTATGTTTTGTTTATAGTCACTATATGGGTATTTGTCTATCATCTCGATATTATCATTTTCTACGGCTTTATTTGCTAAATGGTCAACTCCTCCTTTATCCCACCTTAGCGAAACCCTGATAAATGTTGATGTTTTGTTTTATAATTAATATCCTGAAGAATTGTTTGCTATTTTATACCCTATAGAGCATTTAAGGTGTCTGTGACAATAAGAGGTAGGTGTTGTTTTATACATTCTTTGGGTAGACGAATAGTAAGTAAATTTAATTGTTTCGCAAAAGTAGGCTCCGGCATGTCTCTTTGATGTTTTAGAGGCATCTGCATGTGTTATTATTATTATTGTTGGTAATGTTGGTATTGTCATAATGGAAAAAGCAAATTCAAATTTAAAATTAAATATAGGGTGATCCGTTTGAAAAACAAGGGTTTGTTCCTGACTTAAGACTAAAGTTATTGATCATCGATATTTTTCACACTAAGAATTACAGAAATACGAATATTTAGTAAAATAAAAATACATTTATTTGACAATTTTCAGCAAATGTTCTCCATTTTATCTTCTTTTGTTAATTGACCTTGCTCTCGAATGAAGTAAATGCCCAAATGTAAAAATAATGTTTACATTTATCTCACTCTCATAAGTAGATTTCTATAAGATATTTCTGAAATTCCGTTTAAATGCCTGAATCGTCATAATATGGCGATTATAATGTTTGTTTATTCATACAAATTAATTGTTATACGTATGTATAGGTCTATCAAACAAAACAAACCAAATCTACGATAATTCGGGTCGTATTTTTAGCTGAATGATGCTGTACAACGTCATTTCTAAAATAAATTGCAACAATATCAAAGTAATGTGGGTAAATTTTATTCTAACGACAGTTTTCGAAAATTATTAACAGAATAGCGTTTCGTATTAGATTACCTATTATTTATTAAAAATATTGTGTAGGTACCCATAGGTGTTTATAGTGAATACGGGAATTATGAATTACCTATTCATTATTTTAATAAATCCACTTGCACGTAAGTCAGTTGATAATATTTATTAATAAATGGTCACGAAATTTTTAGATTAATCACGAAATATTTATATAGGAAAAATATGTATATTAAATTGACCTTAATATTTATTAACTCGCATATTCCAAATCAAGGATAGATTTCACGATTTAATATAAAATAAATCCTTGAGTACCTAATAAAATAAATGTAGGACATTTTCCGATCGTAAATCAGTTCGAAGTCGATTTCAGATTTATTCAAAAAAGAAATAAAAGCTAAAAAGCATGAGGTTCTTATTATCGATTCTAAATACAGAGTCCACTAAAAATAACGGTTCTCAGCGGTTTTTGGCAGTAAACATCTTTGATTTTTCAACTTTGTAATGTTTTAAATCGTTTAATTATGAATAAAAAAATAGTTTGCAAAATGTATTATTTACTCTTTCAAGAGTTGACAGAAATTGTTAAAATTCCAGATTAATTGCTTTACTAAAGATATATATGGCTCAGTAGTTAAAGTATTGTTTCCAAACCACCAGCATCGGGTTTTTATTATATTTAATATTCATTTGAAATTAATCGGAAAAACTGACATAAAAATGGCACATGTGAAATGTAGCAATGAAAAATATGGTTTAAACCAGTATTTCCCAAAGTGGTCCAGGTGGACCCCCAAGGGTCCACGGGAGACTCGACGGGGCGTTGGGCGTAATAAAAAATTGGGGTCCACAATCGTAAGCGGGGGTGCATGAAAATTAATTTGGTTTCGATAGTGAAGCAATATACTATTAAACAATTGATTACTCATTTTTTCATATGATGAAGATATTCTTGTAAAAAACTTCAACTGTTTATAATATAAACAGTCAACATTTTAGTTACTAAAATGTTGACTTGACTTCTGTTATCAATATAGGCAGATACTATTTTATGAAGCGCTCAGCGACTGTTACTTGTAAAAACTTGCATATTCCATATTCAGTACAACGCGTCGAGACTTGTCGTTGCCGCGCCGGCCGCCGTCCCATCCGCAACGTGTTTGATTCTTCACCAATATAAATACGAATGTCAAGGATAATCGTTACTCATTTGTTTCTGGAATTTCATAAAGAAAAGTGAATCTATATTAGTGTTGGCCAGTGACTGAATTTGTTTCCAGACTTTCGAAAAGAAAAGTAAAGTGAATCGATATTAGTGATTGCCAGTGTCGAAAAAGTAAGTACCTACCTGCCTATTTGTTATATGCATATAGTTTTAAGCCGAGAAAGATTGAACTTATCGTCCCTACTTTATTTTTATTACCTATCTAATTCATTTAATTATTGCGGAGTTTTGATATCAAAATATTGTTTAAAAGTTTCTATAGAATTTACAGAAATATATTAAAATATAATAAATGAAATAATAATTTTATATCACATTAAAATAAGTTCAGCTGTTTTCATAAAACTATTATTATGGATCTTAGCGATTTATTGCTTTTAAAAATTAGAAACAGTGTGCAGCCGGAACTTTGTTTATTTCATAATATTTATAATAATTGATTAATCATATTATGTTAAAATATCCATATCCTGTTAAGTACGAATCGCCTTAAGATTACTAAAACAAAGTTTTTTTTTATTTATTTACACATTTACAGGTAGGTAATTGATACAAAACATGGCCGAATCTAAGAAGAAGTGTCAATACAGTGTTGAATATTTAAAATTTGGTTTTCTTTCATCAAAGGCAGACAAACGATTGCCCACATGCCTTTTATGCAAAAAAGTTTTGAGCAATGACTCTATGAAACCATCAAAGCTGGAATATCATCTAAGAAGGTGTCATCCTGATAAAATAGGTAAAGATTTAAAATATTTCCAAACATTAAAGGAAAAATATGAAAAGAGACCCACCGTGCACAGTATGTTCACTTCAACGTCTGAAAGCAACAATGATGGCTTGCGGGCATCTTACAATATGTATTTCATTACTTATCGCAAAATCTGGAAAACCGCACACCATTGGAGAACAGTTAATTTTACCTGCTGTTGAAGAGGTTTTAAAAACTGTTTTGCACAAATCTTCATTTGACATCCTCAAAAGAATTCCTTTAAGTAACAACACTATACAAAGACGTATTGATGAAATAAGCTCTGATTTTTCTATTCAACTGGACGAGTCAACTTTACCTGGCAATGAAGCATTATTATTGGCATATTTTCGATTTGTTATGGGCGAAGAAATTCATGAAGAGCTACTATTCGCGAAAACTTTAAAGACGAACACTAAAGGTGAATCAATATTTAATGTTTTGAGTGATTTTTTTAAAGAAAAATCGATTCCATTCACAAACGTTATTTCGGTGGCAATATATGGAGGTCCTGTCATGGTCGGGCGATATCGTGGGTTTATAAGCCGTCTTAACAGAATTATACCAGAGGTAATTGCGATTCACTGTGTTATCCATCGACAACATCTAGTAGCGAAAAATTTGAGTGATAGATTGCACCAATCGCTTCAATTTGTGATTAATGCAGTTAACAAAATAAGAAGCAATGCATTGCATACGCGTTTATTTGCACAATTGTGCGATGAAAATGATGAAGACTTCCAACGATTGCTGTTACATACCGAAGTACGCTGATTGTCGAAAGATGCATGTTTATCAAGATTTTATTTACTTTTTGACTCAGTTTTAGAGTTTTTGAAAAGTAATGATCCTAATTTCAAAAAAAAACTTGATCAATTTTAAAGCAGACATCGCGTATTTGACAGATTTGTTTAAAAAATTTAATGACCTCAACTTACAATTACAAGGGGACAGCCTCAAGTTACTAAAAACAAAGAGTGTAATTTCAGCTTTTGTTGCAAATTGAAATTTATGAAGGAAAATATTGGTCGGCGCGAATTTTCACAGTTTTCAAACTTGTCGCAGGTAGAATGCCTTGATGAAGATATTCAGACATACGTTCAACATTTGATTGATGATTTTAAATTCAGATTTGAAGATATTCTGTCGATGGAAATACCACCATGAATCATAAATCCATTTGATGAAACGAAAGTGGAGAATGTGATATTACAAGAGGAGCTACTCGAGCTTAGCACTAATGAGGAGCTGAAAGTGACATTTAAAAGAGGGTATCAAAAATGTTGGCTGCAGGCAGAAATACCCGAAAAATATCCTGGACTGTGAGGAATTGTGCAAAAGCTTCTGATAGCGTTTCCCTCGTTATATCTCGTCGAAAAAAATTAAGTGCCGTTACAAACTTATTAACAAAAAAAAGGAGCAGATTGAGTATTACAAAAAGGGGATATTTACGGTTATTCCTTACAAAACTCAAACCATATATTGATAATTTTCTGTCAATCCATCAGGTATATCCCTCTTATTAAAATTATATATTTTTTTTGTAATTACCATTGTAGAAATTCCATTACGTTATAAGTGTTTAATTTTAATTATATTACGACGGTTATAACAATAATAATTAATAGTGTAATAATTAATATATTTAAATTTAAATAAATACTTAAAACACAAGGAAATATACTATATTTCTTTTTACCACTCCGAATGGGACGTTTTCTAAATAAAATTTGTGGGAATTGATTGGTTCTTGTGCTGTAAGTCACTGTAGATTTCAAAAAAGTAAAGTTAGATGGAGTCACTTTTTTGTTTGGCCAACTTTGCTTTTTTGACATCCACTCACAGCACAATCATTTAAAATTTAATTGAAAATTTGTTTAATCGACTTTATTATCAAATAATTAACCCTATCAAGCAATCAATTCTAACCTTTTTTTCGAAAACTGTTAATTCGTCACAACGCAAGTTTCCATAGATAGATCTAATCCTCACTTTTTTTTTAGAGATTTAGAAATTGGTAGTGATATAGTCCACCGGGTCCAGCAAAATTTTGAAAGTGGTCTATGAAACAAAAGAGTTTGGGAACCTCTGGTTTAAACAATCAATTGTTATATGCATTTATGGCCATTTTTCATTATATTAAACCAAAAAAATCCACTTATTTGAGCGTATGCAAACCTAGGTAATACTAGTTATTAATAAAGATGATGAAACTGCCTCTTACTTATGCGCACGTGCGGTTATTCAGCCACATGTTTTCTATCAGGATTAAGGTCCGTATTTATAAACCGGACATATTTTTATATACTGGTTATTCCAGTAATAATTAACATAGTAATAATTGTTTTGTGATGAGGTTATTTGGATAAAAATAACTTAAATTACCAAATGGACTTTCAATTAGCTTTAGTTCCAGGTATAAACGGATTATCTATGGGGTGGGATTTTAAAAATGCCAAGGGAAGACCAGTATACTATCGCCAAATATTATTAATTTTAGTTCGTCTTTGTGTTGGTGTTTTTGTGCAGTTTTTAATAATGGAAGCAACATTTTGTTTAAGTGAGAGAGGCATGTTATTATTAGTAATTTATGACTATACATTCAGTTTTCAAAAAATGTTGGTCAATAAAACAGTGAAACGATGGTAATGCAGTAAGGGAACATGTAAGGCATTTGTGAAAACCCAAGCTGTGGAGGACATTTATGAAAAACCCTTAAAACTTATTAGAAACGAAATTAAAAATTCTGCAGTCGAGACCTTAATCACAAAGGACATTGAGAGATTGAGGCAAAATATATACAATGCTATATCTTCTCTTCTTTTTAAAAATCCTAAAAATATTTCCGAATTTCATATGGCAATTGAGACGTCTCCTATTTTAATTAATCAGAAAGAAAACTTCTTGCTTAAAAATGACAAAGAAAATAATATTGTCATATTTTCGTGTTTATCAAACCTTAAATTTCTGTCATCTCTTTCTTGTTGTCAGTTTTTTCGGCACAGCACACGGAAAACGTTCTGACACTGTATGAAAATATACTGTTCATAAAAATGGATTTAAAAACTTTTTAATGTCAGTCACAATATTTAGGAAATTCATTAACAAATTAATATAAAAAGAATATTTTACTTAATAAATATCATTAATATAAAGTAAAAAAAAAT